GCAGCAATGAATGAATGGAAATCCAAAATCTCTGTAAATGTTCATTAAAATTATTTTTTTTTAAAAAAGAGTGTTTTCTAATGGAGATCCATCCAAGTCAACATGCTCTTGACAAGTCCAACGATGGAGCCACAACATCTAGACCAACCCCTATACAGGCATGTCTCCTGGAGAATACCCTCAAGCCGGCACACAGCACCACCACCGCCTTCCTCGTCAAGCTGAGAACAGTCGATTCAGAGAGGGCATGTGTATGTGAGGCATCCCGGGCAAGGACACCGGTGAAGATGTCTGTACTGAGAAGGCCCAGGCGCATGTGGAGGGAAGTGGACAACGTCTGCTGCTCTCCCCACCTACATGCTCCCTCGAGTCCAGGTTCCCACCGCTATCGGCTACTACAGGGCACCTCAGTCCTGTCCTCCTGGAGCCCGTGTTCACCTGGGCAGAGGTGTGCTCTGAGATGTAACGGGGGGCGGGGGATGAGGCCCTGTAAATGCTTCTGTTTAAGGGAATTCCAGGAAGACCTCCACTCCTTCACCGTGATTCTTCATGCCCAAGTCTTCCTTCTGACTTAAAGCTGTCTAACCTCATCTATCACTTTTCTTTTTCCCAGATAAGGGTCCATGACTTGACTTCAATATTTTGAGTCACTGAAGATACTGATTCATTCCTCTAGGTTTTTAAAAGCAATTTAATACAACTACAAATAGGTAGCATTTCAAAAAGGGTAGAGCCTCTACAACATCTCTATTTTTGGCCCAAGTCACTGATGACGATCAAATGACAAAGATGTACAGATCAGAGCCGCTGGAGAGCAATGCAGAGCTCTGCCTCGCTCTAACATGAGCCGTCACCAAGCCAGCACAAAACGATGCTGAGAAATGAGACTTACTGGTCATCTGGAACTCTGCAAAAGCGACTCTTTCTAACTGGACTCGGAGCAGCTCGCACGGCGCGTCCCTGAGCAGCTGGAAGAGCTTCACAGCCTTGCTGTAGTGTAAGTCGGCCAGCACCCGGTGCTGCTTCCTCAGGAGCTCGTCCCCCACCTGGAGGTCGAGACAAAGCAGACAGGCATCCTCAGGGAAGGCCGCTCCTGACGCCAACCTCAATGTGCCAACCTCGACGGCATCCCCAAAGGCTCTGCAAAGGTCACTCCCAAAATCTCAGTGTTTTAGTTCTTGCCCCATTTCGAGTTAATTTTGGGGGGGGGGGGTCATGGGTGGAAGGGGTTCAGCTCTGTGTTCTGCATGTGGGCAGGCAGCTGCCCCAGCACCATGTGCTGAAAAGACACTTCTTTCCCCTTGGGACGTCTCAGCACCTGCCCTTGCTTTTGCCCGGAGGATCGTGGGCGGTCTAGGCAAGCATGAATTGTTTGGGGAGCCTCGTTTAAGAGAAGAAAGGTACAGGGTGAGCTAAACACAGAACAAGTGCTCTAGATTCAGGTGGCTAGCAAAGGGCTGTACTATCGGGACAGGGGTCCCCAGAAGTGAGCCTGTACTCCAGGGACAGACAGACAAGCTGCTTTAGTGCTGAGTTAAGAAAGAGGTCCAACAAGGAGACAAAGAGGCAAACAAACGTCACTCCTAACAGCTGCTCTGTGGGAGAAGGATAAGCAGTGTCCTCCTGTGCGATCAAGTGGCTCTGAGAACTGCCAGAGGGTCGGCTGTGGGTGGGTTCCAACTCAACAGCACAGAACAACAGAACCTACACATACACACACGACTCCTGGCAGAATCCAAGAAAACTCCTGGAAGGCAGCATGCACCCCAGAACTCACGTTACTGCTATAAACCGATGCATCTGTAAGCCAGGAGCTCTATGTGATAATCAGCTCAGATTATACTAATAGCAACCTGAAACCATCCAAAATCCCACTGCTCAGAGAATGGGAAAATGGTATCATAGTCCTTCAATCAATACCATCCGGCTGAGAAAACACAGGCACCACCATGAGGGTCTCTCAAAGGTATGATGGTATGTGAAAGGCCCTAAGCCAGACGTATACAGTGTGATCCCTTCTAGAGAGTTCACCGACAGGTAAAATGTAAACATGCTGTTTAGTGGTAAATCATGAGACAGACATACACGCACTGCCGTGCAGCTGGTGGTGACACAGAGCGACACTAGCAACAGCATCCCTCCGCTGTGCCACGCCCACGGGCCTTCGTCTCATCGGCTGACCCTTCACTCTTCCGAGTACAGTGTCCTTTTAGGGACCGGGCCCTCCTGCTGACTTGTCTACAGCGTGTGTGATGACGTTTCATCCTCCTCCCTTCTCAGAAGTACTCGGGCTGCCCTTCTTCCAAGAGGCATTACACACAGGTGTGCCTGGTTAGTCCTTAAACTCCACACAGATTCCACACCTACCTCCTCACACGAGCTTTGACATCCAAGTTCGACTTCACGAGAAAAACTGCTTTCAGGGGGGAAATGGTCACTACGCTCTAAGCTTCCCTGAGCAGATCATTAAAGCAAACACAGGGCAGCGCAGGGTCGCGGCCTGGCGGTACCTGGTTCCGCAGGCAGCTGTGGTACATGGAGGCCAGCCTGTGATGGATGGTCGCTGCCCGGTACTGGCAGAGGGGCTGGCGTGCAGATGCCGAGTCCACATCGCAGTACTTCAGGGACTTCATCATGGCCTCACTCACTTCTTTTTCGATCTGCGGTTTTCGGTTTTCAGGAGGAAGGGGAACAAAACCACAAACATTCATGATCTTAACTATAAAACTCATGAGAGAAAAACACACTCCACGTCTCTCAACCACAGAGGCCAGCAAGAAGACAAACCTGCTCCTGAGCCTTTCTTGACAAGGGTGCGTAGTCCTGCAGCAGGGTGGCCATGGTGAAGTACGTGGTGGACAGCTCCCAGTTCACCGAGTCCCAGACCGCGGGGTGCCTCTCCCGTGCCCCCAGGGACCTGAGAGCTTTCAGATAGTAGTCAACAGCCTGCAAGGGGGAAATGCATCCACCTAAGTTTCCTCAAATACACAGGCCTCAGAAAAATCCAGGGACCATTTAATGTGGGGAGCAATTATGAAGTAACAGCACTGGAAATATTCCAATGACAAAAGCCAGTTAAGATGGTCAGTGTTCCCCTCTCCAGTAGCCAGTCCTATGAGGATTCTTCTGAGGAAGCCTCAAACTGTTTTCTTTCTAAACGAAAATTCTAATTTTGTACCTAGTAAACTAGAAAAAGAATTCCAGAAATCCATGGAAAACTACTTGCCAGATTTTATTGTTTAATTTAAAAAAAAAAGAACAAGAACTCTTTATAACCCTCCCCCATTGTTAAAAGACCTGGTTCTTACATGTAAGCAGCAGAGTAAACCTATTCACTGCTCGTTCCGTCTCAGCAATTTCCAGGGCATCTGGCCACTCTTTCCCAGCTGTTAACTGATACTGGGCCGGTTTCTTTCCAGTGATTCTTAACTGTTCTTTATACATTAAGAGTGTATTAACCTCTCATCTATAATGTATGTTACAATATTTTATTTAAATTGTGAAATTATGACTTGCTTTTCAATATTGTGTTCTGATGCTCACTTAAGACACACTACCCATGTTTTTCTTCCATGACTTCTGCTCTGGTGTATGTTGGGATCATCCCAGCCCTGCATCATAGGCTAAAGCCTCCTCCTAGACTGACAGTGGGAATTCTAAGTGTCACTTCCTGCCCACCCACCTTTAAGTCCCTGATAAGCTCACAGAACGGCCATCTTTTGTCAAGCATTCCGTTCTCACTGGTTTCACGCAGGCCAGTGTCCAGGCACTGCTGTGGTTTATGCATTTGACAGAATTAGAGACAGCGGTCAGGGCATGGCAACGTGCATTACCTTATTATAATACAGGCCTTCTTCCGGTGAGAATTCCCGTTTAAACTCATCGCCGGCCCCACAGTGGGCCTGTGCACAAATCCGCATGAGCCTCCCAGTGTTGCACAGCAAAAGGGCAGCGTTTGTAGCGTCATCAATGGACTCAAAGTTGTGAATTCCCTTTTCAAAACAAGAAAAGCTTTTTTTCCACAACTGTTGCTCTGCGGCAGACACACTTTTGCTCACTTTGCAAAAACACAAAGAAAGAAAAGAAAAGGGTCCTGTAAATACCTATCAGTGTGACACACCGTCTCTCCCGGTGCTGACTCACTGGCATCACACTGGCCTGCCCCAGCCCTGCTCTCACTGCCCCAGCCATGCTCTTGCTGTCCCTACTGCCCCAATCCCGGCTCTCGCTGCCCCCGCTGCCCTAGCTCTGCTTGCATGGCCCCAGCCTCTGCTCTCGCTGTCCTGGACTCTGTGGTCACTGTCCCAGTCCCACGCTCACACAGCACACCCTGCCCACAGTTCTGATCCTTCTTCAGTGCAGCAACCACCCTCTTCCCCCCGTATCAGCCACTGCCTCACGGCGAGCACCCGGAGCCCCTCGTCAAAGGTTGTTATGTAAAGATAGAGTCACACTCCCTGCTGCCAGTGAAGAGGCTCTGACTGTGCTGACGCTCACAGGCGTGGGACTGACACTTTGCATCCTGGGTCACAGATTCTCCTGCTCCAGGTACCTCCTGAATGCAGGCTGCCCCCTGGCCAGTCCTCCTCACATCTGCCTGCTGACGCCCTGAGACTGTGCACTGCACCTCGCTCCCAAGAACAGCCTAGAGCTCCCACCACGATGCACACCTCCTCATGCCTCCTCCCGTCCTCCGCCTAATTCCTGCCACTCATCTCCGGCTTCCCAACGACACAGAAGACCACACCAGAGCTCATCACAAATCCACATCTGCCTTGATGCAGATGGACAGACACACAGGTGGGAATGGGTGTGTGTGTGTGTGTGGGGCTTTTCTACTTTCACTTCTTGTGAACTGATCGAAACCACAGCGTAACCCTTTATGACAGAATCAAGTGTCACAGCCTCGTGCTCAAGTCCCTGTCAATGAGCCTTATCTCACACTCAGCCCACAGAGGTGGGGACCCCACAGAGGTACTCACCTGCCCGTTCGCTCTGCAGTGCAGCCGCCTGATTCATGTAGAACACGCCGATTTCATTCCGAATGTTCCCCATTCTCTTCAGGACTTGGACATAGTGTTCTGGATTCTGGCTTTTCAGGTCACTGAACTGTAAGATTTCATTAGCAGCTTCGTAACATTTACAGCTCACCGAGAGCTGACTTTCTAAGTCGGTAGATAAGTCGGTCGCCCATGCAAATCCTGAGGAGAAAATGAGAGATTCATGTGAGCCTGGTGTGCTTATTCCTTAGTCTCAAAGTCCACCCAGAACGTCTAAAACCACAGAAAACACAGTGGAACAGAAGCATACGAACACTTAAAGAACACAGCTAGGTTTCACTGTAAAGGTGACATATTCAAGACAAACAAGAAGATGAAAACGCGGAGTCTGCACTAAGAATCAATGAAAGAAAAGGACCAATGAAGAAAATGTTTCATTTTCATGGTAATACATTTTAAGTCCTTATATTTTCTAGGGGTAATAAGGCTCAAAAGAAATACAGTTGTCCCTATAAAAACCAAACTGTCCTATCACTGAGCCATTTACAACACAGGCTTGTTTATGAGAACAGAACACTGATACAAGGTGAAATTGTCTTTTTATGGCTGGAGATAGTTCTTGAAATTCTGTTCTCACCACTACCAGAGGCTAGCTATGCGCACCACCATCTGCCATGTAAGTTACTCCGGAAGCAGCTGCCCACAGGCCCTCGAAGGCTCAGGCTGACGGCCATCTAACGGAGCCTGGAGTAAACTTAGGACAGGACCCAAATCTACTGGCAGCGTTAACACCCTGGCTGTATCACAAAAGCATACAAGATGCCAGTGCTGTGACACAGATGTAGCCTTCAAGGAGTAACACGAAGGGAGTGATACAAACATCCACAGGGACGGTCAGCCGAAGAGCAGCGGAAGGAAATTGGGAAACAATACATTTTTCCTCCTAATGCGTTTCTCTAGCTGCTTATTTTCTACCTCAATGGACCTCAATGAGACAACTCAGAAGCTAAGCGAGTGCTACGGCCCGGTGACAGGGTCAGTGCTGTCGGACCCCACGTCCATCCCAACAGTGTGCCTGGGTCAGCACTGAGCTGAGAGGTGGACATGCTGGGCTACATCGCCTGCTTTCCATGGGGGTCATGCGGGCTCCAGAGCGGGGCAGCACGGGCACCAAGACAGCCAGCCCCAAACAATGCCAACCTCAGCCTCAGGACCGTCCACCGTCACTGTCCCTCCTTTCCAAAGGAAACCCCAGCTCGGCTGGCTAAATGGGTTGCTCCGAAAAGCCTCATGAAAAAAAGTGGACAAAAGGTCAGCACAACTGTTTTAGAGCTTGTTTTACACTCCGCTCTAACTGTAACTCTATAAAAATTCAAAACCGTTTTATACGTAAATACCCAGGATTGTACCGGCCTTTACCATCAAGAAAAGACTGAGCTAGGGCGGAGTGAATATCCAAACACTGCAGCTCTCAGGGTTTGCTGGCTCTGCCACAGGCAGAGGGCACACCTTGGCAGGTGGACTCTCGGTGGAGACTGTGCAGGATCTCCTGGTCTTCCTTGGTCTGATAATGAAACTCTTCCAGGTGAGCGGCTCTGTTGTTGGCGTTCTGGGCCAGCATCAGCTGGATGTCCCCGCAGAGGGTCAGGTACTGCGACAGGAAGAGCAGCACTTCCGACAGCATGTTGGTGCAGAGGCAGCAGTACGTGTCTATGCGGGGAAGTGGAGCAAACCCGGGTGCGTTAGCTACCAGTGAGCGCAGTCAGCCCGGCAGAGCCCGTGCTACAGGAAGCCCTGCCCACTGCGTCTACCCCCAGGCAGCCTCCCAGCTTCACTATTTCAGACTGAAGGAATAACACCCCACTAAGAGGAGTAAGTAAAAGCAACAAGTTCACAAAAAGGAAAGCAATTTCAAAGTAGGATTTCACCTCCAGGCTCTCTGTGGGCTGTCTCTATCATCCCTCCCCAGGTCTACAGCAAGAGTCAGTCTCGCCCCTCACTGGGGCTCTGCAATGTCCCCTCTGCCCTCCCTGTGACTGCAATGTCCCGTGTCCTCCCTCGTCCACCATCTACCGTGGCTCTGCAATGTCCCGTGTCCTCCCTCATCCACCATCTACCGCAGGTGGACCCCAGCCCCTCACCGTGGCTCTGCAATGTCCCGTGTCCTCCCTCCTTCACCATCTACCGCAGGTGGACCCCAGCCCCTCACCGTGGCTCTGCAAGGCCAGCTTGATGTACCGCAGCGCCCTCCCGTACTTTTGCAGACTCATAGCTGCATCAGACAAAACGTAGTAGGCCTTGGAGGACTTGAGAATCAGCTGAAGTTTCATCTTATGTTGCCAAGAGCCAGGGATCATTCCAGACTGACTGGAGCAGTTCCCCTTCTGCAGGGAGCCCACTGGGCAGGGAGAGAGAAGCACAGTCCGTCTGAAAACAAGGCTTACTGTGAAAAACATCTTCTGTTTCTAAACAAAAACACACCGTCCTGAGACACTGCTGTTACAACCCTGATTAAGTGCTGAGCTTATACTCTCTCAAAGGCAACAGAGCAAAGCCGCAGGGGCGCAAACAGGCTCCTGCAGCAGGTCTCAGGGTGGCTTCGCTGCTGGCGTCAACTCCTTCCCTCTCGGGGACACTGAGGGGACTGCACTCCCACTGGGCGCGGCCTCCTCGGCTGTCACCCAGAGCACAGCGTGGGCAAAGCCACTGCCCTGGCCTCTGGCACTAGAGCCCCGATCGCCAGCTGGGTCTCCCACTCACTTTCCGCTGCTCCAGCGGAACGATTATCAGTCTGAGTGAAGCCTCGCTGGTTCCCTCTGTGTGTGTGTCCTTCTTCTAAGCGCCTGGCTAGCTCAGTGCTCAGTCTCCTCAGCAGGACTCCCCTCCACTAGGAGCCCACCACGCTGCTCTCTTCATTCACCAGGTCACTTCTGTGCCAAGACCTCCAAGGCAATGGAGCCAAGTGGCAGTGCGAGGAGGACGTGATCCGTCTCTTTTAGAGATAGCACACACGAGTGGAGGAGAGGTGCTTTGCTGAGAGCTTTAACTGACATAAGTATGTGCAGGTGACAACTCTACTGAAAGGTACAGCAGCGAAACGTACTTTTGTCCAGGAACAAGGCCATCTGCTTCTCCAGGCCCTCAGGGCCTCCGTGTGAGGACTCATCTTCGTATTTCAGGGGAATTGGTGTGTTGGGGTCAGCTGCGGGAAGATCACTTTCTTTTTTGATGCTGCTGTCCACAGATTTCAAGCCCTTAAAAAAAGGAAACAATCTGCTAGTAACTTAACCAAAGGCCCACTGGCAACAAAACAGCAAGAGCACGCAGACCCCCAGTGCATTCACCCCTCATCCGAGGACACTCACAGAGGCGGCCTGTGACAAGGCCGTGTTGAGCACGTCTATCAGTGCCATCTCCTGGCAGCAGCACGTGCTCACTGCACGTGTGTATCACACGGTGGGAATTCTCACAACACTCCAGAGTTCCCACCCTGCTCCCGCACACTTGAGACTGTAGCACAGTGCAGAGAGAACGTGTGTACGCACTGGGGACCCAAAAAGCCACATGGCTGGCTTCACATGTGCTTTATAACGGTGGTCTGCCGCAGAGTAAAAAAATGGTCTTTTAACAACTAAATTTGCTCTGAAAGGTGTGGGATAAATGAACTACACTTTTGCTTTAAGCGTAAAGAAGAAAGTAAACAGAAGACTATTAAGAGCGCCATCGGGGTGTAAAGGAAGCACTACTGACCAAGTGTTGGACACACTGCAGGTGAAGTTTCACCAGGACATTAACACAGACACGGAACTCACCTCCAGGACGTAGCTGAGAACCAGTCTACAGCGCTCCTCCGTGTCATGGCAAACTGGAAACGCACAGCTGGGCTTGAGAAAGAAACATTCAGCAAGATCACTACGCCATCGCACAGCCCTGAGAGCTCAACACGCGGGGCAGCCCTGACCAGAACCCGCTACACAGAGACAGGCACTGGTTCTTACTATTAGAAATCTATTTGTGCATTCAGCTTAGTGAATCCGAAAACATAGACATACTGTCTTTGTAGCAAATTAAACTTTTAAAACATGACCAAGAACACATGGCTTAACAAAAACATCTCCCCTTATAGTTGCGGCTTTAAAGGCTAAACACTTATATGACTTTGTCAGGCCAAAAGGGGAGACATGTGCAGCAAGTAACCCTTTGGGTAAGTTCATACCAGAGTCACAGGCTATGGCTGCGGGCCAGTGAATGAAGCCAGGAGGGAATGCTGCACAGAGAATGGGGTGTGTCCTGGAGCCCTGAAGCTCATTCTGGGGTTCTGGCATCTTTGAAACCATCATGAGGAAATAATAAAAACGAGAGCTGCTTTCCTTTTCAATAAAACAAAAGGCCACTCTGTGGGCCCACAGATGTACATGCAGTCAGACGTGGCCAGAGTAGAAAATGCAAACCCACATATTCAATGCCTCGTTTTCCAATGCCGAGGTTTTACTGTAAACTCTAACGTGCTCACTCTGATCTGATGGATGGACTTGTACTTCTCAGGCACCGAGAGCTCCCCGACAGACTTGATTATGGCCACAGCCTTGCTGTCCTCCGAGGGCTCAGCGCTGGCGCCGTAGGACCCGTTCTCATCACTGTCCGGCATCTCCTCCTCATCCTCTTCACTGTAACTTTCATCCGAGTTCTCATTGAGAGGAGACTCCGAACTGTCTTCTCTTTTAGGTTCATCCAATTGAAAAAGTTCTGAAAGCATGTAATTGGCTGAAGCAATAATCTTGAAGAAATAAAAGTAAGAAGAAATGTGTGTGAGTGTCACGCACACTGAGCTCCCCAGGCAGTGAGCCGTCCTAGATCCAGGACGACGTCTGACGCTTCCCTGATGTAAACGGGATGTGGAGACACACAGCCTGCTCTCCATCATTTACACAGGCTCTGGGGGAGCGCCAAGCGATCCTCCAGCTTGAAGGGTTCCTTCCTTCCCTTCAACGCCCCACCGTCTGCTCCCACCTCATGAAAGGTGGCCACTGAGGCTCAAGAAGAACACTTCAAGGGTGGCATGACACAACTCAACGATCAGCATGCCACCAGCCCAAACAGAAAAAGCAACTTAAAAATTACGAGCTGGTACAAGTTAATTCCGACTCAGAGCAAGCCTAGAGGACAGATAGTCCCCGTCAAGGTCTCACAGCTATCAATCTTGTCAGCAGCGGACTGCCTCGGCTCCTGTTTAGGAGGCCCCCGTATGTTAGAAACACTGACCTTCTCAATGAGCAGGTTATCATGAACAGACACCTAGTATTACTAACAGGCAGGTTACTGAGTAGGAGCTGCCCTGTCAACGCTAAGGGAGGTGGCTGGAATCCACCAGATGGGCCATCACCTCGTGGTGACTCACTGCCCCCGAAAACCTGCTGGAGGGTCCGCTGAGTTGGTGCCAACTTGAGAGTGGACAGCAATATTTATCATGACTGGGGGAAAGCTTCCACTCAGCCATCCTTATATATTTTGTCCTATAACATTAATCATAACTTACATAATGTAATCACACTTCCTCCACTTTCTCCCTATAACTCTCATTTCAATTAATCGCCCTTCAGCAATTCCTAAGAAACATTCAACAATTTCAACACCATTTCCTAACATCCACATAAATCAATCAACTTGTATTAAACATAATGATCTCAATCAGCAGACATTTAAGTTGGAAATTACTCTTTTCTACAAAAAATGTTTTCTCTGGATCTGCTGCCTAACCCCAATCCACTGCTGCTGAACTGTTTCTGTCTCACACAACCCTCAATCTGGTCACCAAGGCTGTAAATTATTAGTAGGGACTGACTGTCTTCCTCCCTCAGAGGGACTGGTGGGTTTGAACTGCTGATCTTTTGGTTCACATTAAGTTCTATACTGTGAGGGCTCTTGGATCCGGTCTCTAGAGTAATGTGAAGGCCCAAACTGGGTGTAATAATACACAAAATAAAAACTGACAGTGGGTGCGTAACCTCTCCAGAGGCGAACAACCTTCTCTCTCCTGAGAAGTGACTGACTCTCACTGCCCACTTGCCAGTTAGCAGCCAAGCACTAAGCACCGCCCAGGCGGGCTCCCCGCTCCCACACACACACCTGCGGGTGCCTGCTCTTGTCCAACAGTTTAACACAGTTAAGGAGCAGGGTCCTGATCGTCCCATAATGCTTCTTATTTTGATTCTTCTTCACCATCATGTTGCAAGCAACCCTTAAAAAAAAAAGAAAAAGATATTTACTCTCCACGCACCATTCTCTACAAGAGTCAAGTCGAAGCCTGCTCTCATGTGCAGGAGAGAAAATGCTACGGCAAACAAGTATCACTGTTTTCATAGAAAAGCAGAGTACTGTCTGGCACAGTCCAAAGAGCTATGAATTTTTAACCACTAAACATATTTAAAGTCTGGGCCAAGATGGCATGGCTGGATGCTCTAAAAGGGTCAAGGCCAAAGCCAGCTGCCACCTCGTCAATCTGCTGGAGGCTGTAAGGCGCTCACTTGTACAGCAGGATGGCCACAGGCATCGTGAACGGGTTCTGGTACTTGTCCTCCGTTTCTTCACAGAGAGTGGTCAGGTCATAGAGCTTCACAATATCGCTGCCACTGGCTGAAAAGAAAAGCAAATCTCAGCGTGCAGCCGCCACCCAGACGAGCCAGGGGCACCCGTTCACCCAAGCACTCGCTGACCTTTAAACAGCCAATAGGTATGGCCTTCTTTGGTGCAATTCGACTTCAGAAATGACAGAATATTCTGGGCGATATCCTTTATGACTTTTGTAGAAAAATTAGAGTTTTCCAAATTGGGGATTTCTTCTGTTTTTATCATTTCATACTTCTGCAAAACACAGATGGGAGACAGCTGCAGGGAGACTAGAACAGCAGCCTGTCTCTTATTAAACAGAAACCGAGTACAGGAGCCTGTTAGGCTGCTGAGCTCCTCCCCTGGGACACTGCTCTCCTGCTCGAGGCTCACGGCCTGGGGTCGCGTCTCGTTCCCCACCAAGTGGTCCAAGTCCAGTGTGATTCTTGTAGGCGCCTCTAGTGAGGCGCTGGGCAGATAATGCCTCAGCAACACCTCTCTCCCAGCCTCCCTGATGGCTCACTGGGAACCTGTACGCTTTTTGCAAAATGAGATCACACCACTATCCCCACCTGAAGCAGCCACCTTCTCTTTCTCCAGTCACGATGCCTCCACTGCTCTAGATTCCTGAGTCTCATCTTCCTCCTCCTCAGACCCCATCCTACTTCCCATCCCTGCCCCTGAGTGCCCTCCATGACACAGTGACTGTCACCTGTAGAGTGTGGACTACCAGGAGCTCTGCAGGAAGGTCCCAATCAGACTCATCTGCAGGGCTCCTTAGCCCCCACCGCTCAGGCGTGGTCTCAAGTGGTGACATGGCACTCTGACACACACTATAGATTAGGGACCACAGGGCTGGAGGACCTTGGCCTCAAGGCGACAAGCAGGCTCCAATGCTGGGCACCACCACGCCCAATGATTGAGAAGCTGGGCAACTCATAAGGGCTACCTGATCCCTAGTCCTCCTCAACTGTCAGAAGGGTGACGGAACACAGGCAGCTGGAACAGACAACGAGACGCTGCCTTCCATCAGGTGTCTGGTGCTCTCTCCCCAGCACTGTGGGGTCTGCCTCTGTGTCCCTCCATAGCACCCTTAGTATTACGTGACTTACAGAAGCACCACAACACCTCAACAGTCCCGCTGTCCCCACATCTCCCTGCCTGCCCCACAGCCTAGGTTTAAATTCAATTCCAACAGGACACATTTCATCTCCCAGATGCAGAGTGCTCACGGATCCCAGATTACCAGCCAAGTCTCAAGTTCTTAGCCCTGCACTTGGGGTCTCCAAGGCTGGCTGTCCCTTTTCCAACCTTTCTTTCAACAACTTCGTTAGATGAATCCCAGGTTTCTCCAAACTGGATTCCTAACCTTTGTCCATTCATTTCCTTACATTTTGGATATTATTCTAGACCCTGTTAAACCGTCACTTCTCCCAGGAACTCTCCTATCGCTGCAGAAGTGACCACAAGCCTCCTGTCATCCCGACTCCTGCAGGTCGATGTACTCATGAGGGCTTGTCTCCTCTTTTCTCTCTGCACACCTCTCCCTTCTAACAGTTTACATCTGTCTAAGAAGTAACGAAGCCTTACTCTTTCTGTCCACCTTTACGACAGGGACGGAATGCCTACAGAGGTAGGTTTCAGTGTATTTACAGCCTTCCCCCAAACCACCCATGCCAGCCAGGAGTCCTGGCACACCCACAAGCGGTCCTCACTGCCTATGTACACCACAAGCTTGGAGGGGCTTCCGAGCTTTAGTGAGGGGCTCTGTGCACTAGGGGGATTATAAAAACACCTCGGGTCTTACCTGCACAATGCCATTTACGTGAAAACACATCACCAGCTCTGGAACATTGCATATCAAGTTGTCCAACCAATAGTCAATTCCAGTTAACACATTAATTGGTTTGTTGTTATCCCTAAAAACAGACATTAGCGTTACTTGGTTTAACTGGTATGTTCCCTAGTAAATCATCTGAGACTGCCTTCTCTACTTTAGGTCTCTGGATCCAGACTCCTTAGATGGCGAGGGCCACACGGGCCACTCATGGGGAGATGTGCCGGCCGCTCCAGAAGCTCTGCCTGTGCTTCCGACCGACATCAGGAGGGATGGAGTCCGAGGGGATGGGCTCACGAAGGCGGATGAGCACGAGGACGGGCCATGCTCCTCATACAGGCCGAGGAGAGAGGCCAGCTGACAAGTCACAGTGCAGCTCTGAAGAGGCCGGCAGGGAGCTAGCGAACCACCTCCTCCCGAGCAAACACACTGCACTGAACCCTCAGACACAAGAACAGGGCATTGTACTAAGAACCAAAGACTAAGCTACTTAGTCAGCACTGCCTGCCTTTCTGCGGCCAATTCAGTTGGCACGGGGAGGGGAAGACAGCCTCCGGCCCCACAGAAACATGAAAGCAGACAGACTGACTCTAAACAGACATAAACCATCCATGGCCAAGGAAGTTGAGTTCTGGGTACCTGAGGCGTAAGCTGACTGCAGGATACCTGCCTCCTCCAAATATGGGCATGTTGGAGCCAACCAGCATATGTATGTCTTCAAATGTCCACAAAATATTCCGAACAAAGTCATTCTTAAGACCCTTTGATTCAAAAGAAAATAGGAAGTATTTTAACAAACAGAAGACCAAAAATGTCCCCCCACCAAGCCCCACAGAAAAGACTAGAAAGAGGAAAAGTTAAAGGAAGCAAAGGAAACAAAAGTCATAGAACTGGAGGGCCACAAGAAGGCATTAGGAAGAGACTTGTAGGATCGAGATGTTTCCCACCAATCCGGCTCAGGCGAGGTCCTGTGGGGTGCTGGTGCCCTGGTCAGCACCTCACCGCGCGTACCTGACTGTTCTCCCCGTCATTGAACAGAGTAGCCAGGTTTTGTTCTTTGGGTGCAGAGGCCACATGCCCCACTATGTATGAGGGCTCAAAAGGCTCACTGTCCTGTGGAAAGGGGGAGGAGAAGGTGACTCTGCGGCCCAGGCTGCTTACAGACGGCCTGATTTTATAGCACACCGACGCCCAGAGCAGACACCGCAAACCCACTGCTGGGAATCAGGGCTAAGAGGGCCATTCATGTTGGTCAGTTCAGAGCAACTAATCAAGCAACCAGATGCAGACCTTACCGAACAGTAAAGACAAAAACTTCTCCAGTTCTCTGCTCTTTCTGGTGACTGTGAGTATCTCTGTTCTTCTCAGCCCTCACTCCTGCACGGAAGCATTCCTCACCAGCCCCAGTGAGGTTTTAAAGAAACACTCATCTCAGCATTTCCTAACATGTGTATCTTGGGATCCTCAATAAACACTTTCCAGAGTCAAGTTTGAACAATCCAGCTACTACATCATTCTCTTGCAGTGGGAAGTAATGCTTGTTAGCATTAGAAAGCTCTTCAAGAGGCCCTACAAGAGAAAACTCGAGTTTCTCTCTCTACAGCCCGATGTTTCCTAACCTTCTTTCACCTCAGGACATCTGCTGCTCTCTGTGCTTCTGGGTGATGCACGCCGGAAAGTCCTGGGAAGGGACAGGCCCAGCACGGATGGAGACTACTTTTCCACTTGCCAACCACTGAGTGACAATGTCAACGCCCCAGGAAGCCGCACACGGGCACACACCTGCACGCTGCTCTCGCCCCGCGGAGGCCACAAGCTGTGCTGCCTGCCTGTGTGAGTGCACGTGCCCGGGCACCTCTGCTGTGGCTGTCTTCCCCATTACAAGATTACACGATCAGTCTTTTCTCACTACTTGTTCATGCAGACAAGTTCTCTAACTTTATTGCGTTTGTTGGGATTTGGGCTCCAGGTTTCAAGATCCTATGTTCCCCCATAACGGTCTGGTTTCAAGGCCATACCATAGGTATCTCTTTAAGCTTCATGACTACTCAAACATAGGCCTCTAACTAGCAGCTCAGTTCCAGAAATAAAAAGGATTAACTTACAGCTACCTAAACACCAAAATGAAGTCGCAGGTAACAGACCTCTAAATGGTCGGACAGAGAGCATTACACGATTCCGTAAAAGATGACAGATATCAGGTCAGCCCCACTCAGGGCCATGATGCTGCTTGGACAGTCTGACTACAAGGCCCTCCAGGAGAGTGGGGCTGCCGGAAGAGGCCCTCCTGACCACACACAGAGGGGAGGACTATGGGAAGAGGTCTAACTCTAAAAAAGCTGGGCTGAAATCCCAGCTCAGACTTCACAAGCTACAGGGCCACAGGAAAGCACCTCTTTTCATAAATTTTGGTTTGTTTGCAAAATGACACCATTAACACCACATATGAAAGCCATAAGGTTAAAGAGAAATTCATGTACACAACAGGTCTCAAAATACATGGTACTATTGTTATATGCCACAAAGAACTGACTCCTAGCTGACCCTGGAGTGGGTTAACAGAGGCTGAAAATCACACAGGAGACGGCCCATCTGTCTCTGGGGGAGCAGCTGGCAGATGTGAACTGCGTGCCCCTCCAAGTGCCACTCGGCAGCACAGTAAATGACCACTGAGTCACCAGAGCTCCCGACAGGGCAGGAGAGGCATGGATAAATGCCAGTTTCTTTCCTCCATAAGTAAGTGTGGAAATCCTTGACGTTTTCCACAATAATCCTTAAAGCAAGACGGGAGGAAAAGGCTGAAAGACGAAGAGGGGAAACAAGACTATACACAGCGTGGTCTTTTTTGTACAATGAGGGTTTTGAAATCAAAGAATATTAAGCGTATTTTAAAAATGCCTTAGTGAAATATAATCACATATATTAAAGTGGATAAAACACAACTGTATGACTAACTACAAAGATATGACCCAGGTGAGCAGCTCCCTCACGGACATGGGCACTGCCGGCGTGCCTGCACCCGCCTGCACCCACCTCTCACCCTCACAGCGTCCCTCCCAACACTGACCACAAGGGCTCCAACCGAACCACCACCTTCCTTATTCTAGCGTTCCCACCTCTGGAAAAACTCAAAATATGTGGCGTAGTTGGCAGAGATAGGGTTTTTTTTTCATGTATGAAAATGAACTTAAATGTGTTTGCTTCCTGTAAATCTATAACAGCAAAAAGATAGGAGCAATATAGTCAAATTGTATCCTGGCCGTGAAAAACATTTAACAAGTGAAAAAAGCAATTCAAGATCTTATTTTACCTTCTTCAGACTTATCAATTTCCTGAAAAAAGGATATGCCACTTTATATCTGTAGAATGTTATTCTTTGACAAACATTATTAATGACAAAAGTAAACCAGAGAGAAGATGAAACCAAGAATATAAAAACAAGATCGATAACATACTCTACTTTCTGTTTTCTAAAACTTCCGTAATGTGAACACTGGGTAAGCACTTTAAGAACTTCACCAGAAAACCTTACGGGCTACTGTAGATGTAGCACTGTGACTAAACGTGACAGAGGCGCTCACTATTTACGTTACGGAACGTCTGTAAAGCTCAGTACTTGAATGGCACTTATTTCATGCTGTTACTGTTCCTGTGGAGGCCGAACGGACTCAGAGCTGACCCTCCAGCGGGTCTTCAGTAGCAGTAACAGCAAGAGAAGCAACGGCCCATCCTTCTCACTTGAAGCAGCTGGATTCAAACTGTGTATATTCTGGGTTGGCAACACAATTCCTTACAGTAACCCCCCCAGAGCTCTCCTACTACATAGAAGTTAAAAATACACTACAGTTCAAAATGTTACATTATAACACATCTAAGGAAATAACCAATATTAATAAATATGGAAGGTATTTTAAGCACTAGTGAAAGTGTTAAAGTATGTTGAATTGTTTCATTACTAAAAAATCTGATTTAGCTGTATGAAATAGTTCTTATGACTGTATCTTAAACTGAGGTTGCTTCTTTTCTGAACCTTGTTAGAAGTCAATGGATGGAACGTTCACACCTCTGTTTATCTGTTCTCATGACCAGGACACTCGCCCTCACCGACTGAGCTTGCATCCATGTGCTCACTGACCTGCGTGGAAACACCAGGGTCTTCGGACACAGAGGCAGGCATCTCAAACGGGGCCGGCCACGAAGCCCCCTCGGAATCACTGGTCTGGTCTGGACTGGACGTCTCCTGCTGCTCTGCAGCCGCAGGGACAGGCTGAGCTGCTCCATCGCCATTTATGCTGGCCGGGTCAGAAAAAAGAAGAAGATTAAGCTGTGGCTCAAATGAATTTTATTCCACAGTCTATTGTGTTGGGTTTTGTTAAAAAAAGATTCTGTAATCAAGCACACCACCACCACAACGAACTTCTTTCCACAGAACTGATTCTGAATCTCAACAATAAGACAAATGTTAAAAATGTCAGTGCCAAAACTGAAATGACTTCCTTTATAAACTTAAAACTCCATTTCCGATTAGAAGATCCTTTCTCTGCTCAGGTCTAAGAAGCAGTATACGAGCAGCCACACACCTGTGATACAGGAACTTGGACAGGATGGCCTTCTGATACCAGTGCTCTTTGCTCTTCTTCTTCCTCTGCCACTTCTGGTCAATGAGCCTTTGATAGAACTCTTTCAACCATGTCCAATCCCCAGTCTGGGCAGCACAGCAGATTAAGAAAGAAACAGAGCAGACAGGTGGTCAAAATAATCGGGCATCAACTTTACTACCCTTCCAGGAAAGACTCTATTTTTTTAACACTGATTATAAAACACATACAAAGCACTTGACATTCAAGACTCAATTAAAATCGTCTTTCTGGGGAATCTCCCTGTCCTCTTCCTCGCTCTAAGTCAGGCTGTGAGGAGTGAACCTTTTCCACTGAATCGCCTTTAGCTCTGGGGCTAAGTCCCACTGCACAGAGTGCTGACATGATCCGAGCTGGTGTTTATGAAATTTTCACTGTCACATCTCGAGATCTTCAGGGTCTCCACATGCATATAGACTGAACTAAACCCTGATCTTGTAAAAGAGAAACATTCTTTTTAAATAAACAGGAGAAACATGTATTTTAAACACCAATTTAAGTAATTGGAACTACTTTCCCTTTATCAAAGCACTGTGCTTTAAAGAGTAGCCTGTGCCATGGCGAAGGGCAGGATGGGGTGGATGAATACACAGTTCCTCAGACTGGACAACACTGCCGCCGCACTTCACACACTTCCAAACCTCACCACATGGCCGTGAGCGGAATGAGCAGGTCGAAACTGCTGCAGTTTGTGAAGCTTGGCTTCAGGAAAAGAAACTAAGTCTAAGAACTTTTCCTCTGTAGGAACAACTTCTCATATTTCCTGGTAGCCATATTTCATTATTTACGTTGAGACGACAAAGGACTTTCAAACTGTAAGCTGACTTTTCTCTACTCCATCTCTCCTTTGTCAGAAGCCTGGCTACTGTTGTTAATAAATTAACTTTCTTCCCCCGTCTCCCTCTCCTCACCCCTCCGTTTTCTTTAATAAAGTTCCCTTTACCTTGAAATTTCTTAATCTATGATCCCTGCTGCTCCACCCTGGCCTTCTCAGCCCACGCTCCCAGCACTGCGGGGGGACAGCCATGGTGGGACAGCCACGGCGGACTTGCTCCTTACCTGGGACGAGCGCATGAACAGCTCCTGGATATCGAGCTCGTCCAGGAGGAGCGTGCGTCCTACACGGTGCACAGCCATGCTCACGTGAGACTTGCTGTAAGGAATCTTCAGGAGCTTTTTTATGTTCTGAAAACAAATCAGGGGGAACTAGATTAGAAAGGTTTTTTTACTGTGATTCTAGACATTTCAAAGTTTCCTTCAACTTCAAAGCACAGTGCGCTTTACTTTAGGTTATCTAAATGGAACTTCAGATTAATAGGTACAAACATAGAGAAGGCAAAGCTTTCAAGTCAGAAGCACCTACACTTTGTGAACAATGCTATGTTAATGTGTGTGACGACCACATGTTTTTTTACAGGACAGAATTTCTGCTGCAATGGCCTGGATGTCAGCAGATCAGCTCACACTGACCAAGTAAAGACCTGCAGGCTTTACCAGAACTGTCACAACCAATCTCAAGAGGCGACACATTCCGGGCAATCTCAAGCACTATCATTAGTTTTAATTACTATTATTAGAAAAAACATGACCATCAATAATAATCTATATGTGGTCAAATAATAATAACAGCCTTCCTTGCTGTTGAGTTAGAACCTACTCCCAGCTGACCCTCCAGCTGGTTTTCAGGAGGAGAATGTCCATCTTTCTCACTTGGAGCAAGAGAGACGTGGCCACCTTTGGGCTGGCAGCACAATCCCCTACAGACTCGGCCACGAAGGAGAAATGTGCTGCTTTAATTAAAAAAGTGCTTAATTACGAGGTTTCTTAGACTAACAGTTAATAAAAAACAGAGGACGACATAAAACGTGTAGCTTAGAACACCCTGAAAGGCATAATGCAGTAAGTCACACTTACTTCAGAGTCAGAGACCACATCCACGTCATTTCCCACCGAATCAATAAAGTCGTAGGCCATACCGAAACTAGGAAAGGGAAAAAGTCACGGTTAAAAGGTCAGGCTCAGGAGCAGATGGGAATTTAGTAACAGAGTGCTGTGTTTTATGGGTTCTAGGATGCATGTGTCCCCCCCCACCGCTAGCACTGCAAAAATCTTTAGTCAACTGTCTTTTCCTCCTTCAAATCACTTCATCACCCTCAAGTCAGAGCCAACTCATAGCTGACACTCCAGTGAGTCGGAAATCACACAGGAGGAGACTGTTTGTCCTTCTCCAGTGGAGCCACTGGGGGGATTCAAAACACCAGAAAGGAACCACCTTTTAAAAAATAATCTGCACAAGTGAATTAAAAAGTATAAAGTCCTGCATCTTAACTTAGTGTTAACAGTTGAGAATTCTGTATCTAGGGAGGTACCCCTCTCCAAAGTCTCGATGATATCATATCACCAGAATGCAAATGGCTTGGCTTCAAGAACTCTGAGTTACAGAATTCCATATTTCACACAATCGTATTATACTGTCAGTGCGTACACAGTGATTTCTGCAATGTTCTAGTCTAAGGAGTTAAAGGAATCTTCCGCAGGGCTAATGCCATCCCATGGATATTTTAGAAACTTCTGCGTTCAGAGAAAGGCACACGTGGGTGAGTGTTAGGGTAAGGAACCACCTTTGATTTAGCTGCAGGACAGAAGTAAAGATGTGACTCTGTGGGGAGCTCTGGTGGCCTAGTGGCAAGGAGCTGCAACTACAATCCCAGAGGTGCACGATTCGAATCCACCAGATGCTCTGCCGGGGAAGGAGGGGCAATCTCCTCCTGTACCAGTCAGATCTGATTTGATGGTACACGCACACACAAATAAAAAAAAATTTAAAAAAATGTGACTTTGTACAGCTGATGAAATATAGCAATAATAATCATCATCAGTTAAAAAAAAACAACATAAAATCACTAGATTAAAAAAATAATCTCTAAGAGAATGCAACCTGTTGAAGGCTGAATATTCTTTTCAGGTGGGAAGTCAAAAGTCGGAGAACTTAGAAAATCTAAAAGGATTTTATTTTGAGAACCAGGCTCCTAGTGAGGTAGAGCGATATTCTTTTTATAAATGAAAATGATGCCGATTCAGTCAGAAAGACAGCAGAATAATAACCGATGGGGCTCCGGCATCAACTGCATAGTTGAAAGGAACTCGGAGCCACCGTTCTTCACTGACTGCTGGGACACACACGGTCACTGCTGGCTTCCTTCCCCTTCTAAGACTCCGCTGTCCACTTTAAATATCATCTGCAGATTTCCTAAGAAGTGTCAGGGCCAAGGGAGTGAGCCACCTGATACGCTGGTCTTCCTACCGTCACTGAATGGAAAACTCCGAGGGTGACATCAGGCATGCTTACAACAGCCTGATGAGAGTCTGCATTTAAATATGCAACAGGCATGAACATTGGTAAAAAACAACAAAAGAGCTGATGGAATGCTCATAACCAGAACTCCACCTTGTTAATAACACAACAAAGACCTGCTAGAAGCAAGCACATGCATAAACTCTTCATATTAGGACACAATCCTAACCTCAGGGGAAAAGGACTTTGCAAGTCTAGGTGCTTTTCAAAATTTGGGAAGAGAAATGCTGGCAAGCTGGCAAGCACCGCCAATTAAAGTATTCTATTTTAAGGACAACAGAAGACAGGGAAAATGCCACCAGTTAACATTCACCTTGAAAATGGCTTGCTCTTCTTACTATTGCCAAGAATGGTGGTGCCCGCTGGCCCCAGTTTGGCACTCTCCCGCAGCCAGTTGGCAGGTGGGAGCTTCAAGTCGGTCTTCTCTTCGAGGCGGGCAAATGCTGTGCGGGGCGGGGCCGAGGAGTACTTCACCACTGCTCGGCTCTTCACCTCACTGCCTCCAAGGAATAATGCGGACCCCTAATTAATGAGTGAATGAGACTTTAATGACGGTTTTTAAGAGTTGAAATCTCAGCTTCTCTCTCTCTTTCACACACACCCACACACAGCTACGTATTATTAATCAGTCATAAAACCAAACCCATGCTGTCCAGCCATTCACATTCATGGCCACACTCTGTGTGTTTCCAAGGCTGTAAAGCTTCCTGGGACATGTGGCTGTTGTACTTGAAATGCTAACCTTCTGGTTAGCAGCCCAACTTATAACGCATCACATCATAAACTTACCAAATGTCAGCTCCCCCCCCCACACGACTTCAGAGCCGAGTCAAGACGACATGGGGTATTTAGCTAGGAAGCAGGGAGACTGATTTTTCAATAACACAGCCCAGCTGAGTGAGCGCTGGTGGCAGAGTCCCGACGAGCTGCACTGCTAACCCAACGCAGCGCCTCTCTCAAGGTCTGAAGTCCTCAGCGGTTCAGTGGGAAGGAGATGGGCAATGTCCTCCCACACGATTTACAGCTTGGGTCGTTTCCTACTCCACGAGTCAACGTTAGAGCACACAGGCCGAAATCAAGCGAGGCAGTACAAGTCCCCCCACACCCCTGAAGTGGGGTGCTCCATGAGTAGGTGCACCTACGGGACATTTCCTAAGCCAAAGGTGGCAGAAAGCTACGAGGCAATCTCCATGGAGATTTTGTAAATATAAGATGAACTTCTGAAACTCAGGTGTAGCACCTTAGCTAAGCATGAAATGATACCCACTGTCATTGAGGGGTGCTCTCATTGCGGCCCTCCAAGGCTGTAGGTAAATCTTAGTGGGAGGAGGCTGTCATTCGTTCTCCCTAGGATTTAAGCCACGGGCAGAGCAACAAGCCACACCATCACACCATGCTGTCTGTGCTCTTAAACATGAAAATGTTGTTGCTGTTATGTGCTGTCCGGTCACCGCGACTCATAGCAACCCTATATACAACCGCCCTGAAACCTACTCTATACTGTGGCAACCTCACTGTCTCCGACACACTTACTCCCATTACCTCAGTCACTGTACCAATTCATCTCATCAAGGGTCTCCCTCTCTACTCTGTCCCTCTCCAAGGACCAGTTCCTCCTTGCAACATCACCAAAGTATGTCAGAAGAAGCTTCAGAATCCTTGCCTCCAAGGAGCACCTTGGTTTCACCTCTCAAGGGTGAACCTGTTTGTTCTTCTAGCAGTCCACGGTATATTCAACACTCTTCTCCAGCACCACAGCTCAAAGGCACCAATTCTCTTGCTATCATCCCTAGTCACTGTCCAGCTCTCTGACACACAGTAACAACTACGAAAACTATGGCCTGGTTCAGGTGCACTGTAGTCTCCAAACTGACATCGCTGCTCTTCAGTACTTTGGAGAGGTCCCTGACAGCTGTTTTCCCAATGCAATTCATCTCTTGATTTCCTGGCTGCTGGTACCAGGAGTGCTGCCTGTGGAAGCAAGTAAACTAAAGCTGTTAACTATCTCAATCTCTTCTCCATCTATCATGGTGCTGTCAATTGGCCTAGTGGTGAGAATCTTTCTTTTCTTGATGTTGACCTTCAATCCGTATTGAAGGCTGCAGCCCTTGACCTTCTGCAGCAAGCGCTTCACGTCGTCCTCAAGTTTCAGCGAGCAGGGTTGTGTCCAATATACTTAGCATGAAAAGGAGACTTCCCAGTGGAACGTGTTAAGTGTTGCACTATTAACCAAAAGACAAGTGGTCTGAATGCACCAACTGATCAAAGGGAGAAAAATGGGCCGAGGAAGGACTGACGTCACCTGACACCTGATGGGGGGAGGGTCGCTATGCATGGGGACCAGATGACTGCTGGGGGGTTACGGGTTATTCAATATTAAAAATTCATAGAGACAAGTAACAGAAAGGCCGTTGCGGAAGGACACAAGTCAATACAGGCTTCGGGGCTGTTCCATATGGCGTTCGCCAGGCCTTTCTTCGGAGGAGCGCCTGGGTGGGTGCACACCCTGACAGCTGGTCATCACCCCTGCCTGCCCGGGCCACCTCGTGTCCTGGGGGTCGCCGGGCCTTAGAAGTGGCTGGGCAGCAACAGGCGAGGTTTCGGAGTTTAATTTAAAGCAAAGTTTATTTTGATCTCGGTCACAAACCCATTTTTTGAAAAAAAAACAACAGCAGCTGCTGGTTAGGAACCTGGAGCCTTCTTCCCAAAGCAACGTTCCTAACTGGTGTGTCAGCTGGTGAGACGGGGACCCCGAGGTTCCGGGGAGCCCCTGTTAGCGGGGGTCGGGGTCACTCGGCCCCTGCACGCACGAGCTCGGGGCGTCCTCCCTCCGCTCCGGCCGGCTCACCTGTCCGCTTCCCGAGGACACAGCCCGCCCGGGGAGCCGGGTTCCGAGGCGCACGGCGAGCGAGGGCCGGCACGCGGACTGTGCCTGCCCGTTCCCGGGGCTGCCAGGCCGGGGAGGTGACGCCGCGGCTCGGGGCACCTGCCGGGCGCTGCCCGCCGCGCACTCACCTGTGCGGAAGGCTCCTCGGACTCGCCGCGGGGCAGGAGGCTGAGCCTCCCCGGGGCGGCGGCCCCCGCCGGCGGAGCCTCGGCCGCGACCTCCCTGACATCGCCCATCGCTTCTCCCAGCGGGATCGCGGGCGAGAACCCGGCGAAGCAGCGGGCTCGGCAAACCCGGCACCGGAGAGGGCCCGCTGGCCGCACTTCCGGCCCCTGGCACGAAGCACTTCCGGTGACAGGGTCAGTGTCGCGAGATCGGCGCCCCGCCCCTCCTCTCCGGCCCGGGCCAGCTTTACGGCAGCCGCTGGGGGTGGGAGGCTCGGCCCGGCGGGAGAGCGGTAGTGCGCCTGCGCGTGCCTGCGCCTCTCCCGGAGACCACTTCTCGCGGGATCTCACTGCCAGGCCCCGCCCCTTACGCGCTGGTCCTCTTTGTTGGCAAACAGGTCTGGGGCGTGGACCCGGGAGGGAGAGAAGTAATCCGAGGACTGACCCTGGGGTTCGAGTCGGGGAGGGTGTAGATCCTGAGGACCCAGAGCAAAACACAGGCCACAATCTTCCCAGTTTTGGGAGATCTTTCCCGGAAAGGTCTGCAAGTTCAGATGACAGGAATCCTGGGGGTCCCCAGCTCCCAGCATCACAATCTCGGGGTCCTGGGTTCAGGAGCTGAGCTGTCACTGAGGCGGCAGGGCTGTGGGACAAAGGGCACGCAGTGTGTATTTGGACACACGGCTTCCAGAGGAGGTAGCACCACGACAGGTTTGGGAAGGAGTTTGGTAATTGGTAAATCAACTAGCAAAGTCCTTCCAACCTAAAGATAGGCAGTTCTCATCCACCAATTCCTCCATGAGAGAAAGATGGGTAATCTGCTTCCTGCCCATTTACAGCCTTTGAAAACCTGCTAGACCGTCAGCAACGAGTTAAGTTTGAATCCCCAGCAATGACTACTAACCACGATACTAATTTGAGGAGGGATCGGGTCCCGGAACCAGCCACTGCTCAAAGATTTAGGAAGTTTAGGTAAAACAGTCCAGCGAGCAGGGAGGGGAGGCTCAAAGAATGTTTAGGATGGTATGTGTGCCCTAAATTTGCCAGTATCCTTCGGACCTGCCAGTCTCATTCGCTTACCTACTGAGAAAGGTAGAAAGATGAGCATCTCCTCCTGTGCAATTAAACTGCCTCTGAAAACCCGTAGGGTGTTTAGCTTTGGGTCACTTCTGACTGGACAGGACACATAATCAACTTGAACTTGCCCCACTGTCAGTTTGTCTTACTACAGTGGCTTGTGAAACTGGACTCTGTGCTACCTGTAGTTCATATTCCAGAAGGGTCAGCCATGGTGGACAGCTTCTAGATTTAGGTTATCAAGAAAGACCTGGCAATCTAGATATGAATAAAAGAAAAACACAAAAACACCACCCCTGTCCAGTGGAGACTGTCTGATGCAGCGCCAGAAGACGAGCCACTCAACTTGGAAGTCACTCAAAATACAACTGGGAAAACTTAACATTTTCAAAGTAGAATGGAACTTAATGACGTGGTCGGAGTGAAGCTTTTGGGACCTTCATTTGCTGATGTTAAGTAATTCAGAATGGAAAGAAACAGGTGAATGCCTGTTGAAAATAAGATGTGGAAAGTATGAAATTAAAATTCATAAAAATAAATCAGAATTCATAAAGATCAACATCCTAGGCATCAGTGAATAAAAATGGACTAGAATTGACCATCTTGGGGAAGATGTGATTTACTATGTTGAGAAAAGCAAAGGAAAACGGTGTCATATTATCAACAAGAATTATTTCCCCATCTAGGTTGATATACAATGCTGTCAGTGATAGTGTAATAAACACATGCCTATAAAGCAGATAATATCTTCAGCAAGTAAAACCTTGCTGCTGTACATATGGTTGCAGGCCACTTGATGGCACATAACAGCAACAACATAATTGGGCATCTTACGAGGAGAGGCAGTTCCTTGGAGAGGGATACCATGCTTGGGAAGGTGGAGGGGTGATGAAAGAGAAAGACCTCAACCAGGTGGATTGACACAGTCACTGCAGCAATGGGCTCGAGTGTGTCAGAGATTGTGAAGATGACACAGGATAGGTCAGGGTTCATGTCTGTTTTCTATAGGGTCACTATGAGTTACACTTAACAACACCTAGCAACAACAACAAGGCCACTAGAGCTCCCTTATTACAAATACCTTTTTTTTTTTCTGTAACAAAACCAGCAACTATACATATGGATCTGGCTGGTGTAATACATAGGAATCAAAATGTATCTGTGGAAAGAGATGATGGAGAAGCTTAACACCAGAATAAGACTGTCTTGTTCATATGTGTCGAGTTTATTATTCCATATGGCTTTCCTAGCTACTGAACTTGACTTTGTGAGACTTAACTTGACTGAACTTGTTGATGGGCAGGAATATGTGAATAGGGTGTGTCAGCATATCTACAACAGGATTGGCTACCTCACTCATCCACAAAGAGGATTGGCTAAGTCTCAGCAATCTACAAGGGGATTGGCTAGCCTCATCATTCAATTGAGTGGATCCAACAGCAGAAAGAGTCTCACCACCAGCAAGGGAGAAGTAGGCATGTAGTGGATGTCCTTCAGGACCAGACATTCTTGCCCCAGCTAAACTTAACAGCAGCAGCAACAATGGCCGAAGCAGAGAGCCAACACAAGATGGAGTTGACCTTGGGATTGCTTCCCTCCAGAGACACACCAGAGCTAAGAGCCTTTGCCCAAGTTTGTTGGACAAATTGGGAAGGACGGAGGGTGCTGGTCAGCCAATATTGGCAGGACCGAGAACTTGGTAACACTGGGGTGAAGCCGTAAGTCTCAAGGCTGAGGTGCCTGGAAGCACCTTTTAGAAATTCTCCTGACTGTATTCTGCTATTAAATTGGATTCTAACCTTTTGCCTTACCAATATGGTTCTTACATGGTCTGTGAGCTATTGCATCGGATTTTGGTCCCAGCCAAGCAGTAGGATTGGTCTTGGGAAGAGTAGAAAGAGGAACAGAAGCATAGGAGATGTGTCTGACCTCATGGGAATTGGTTTTGTGAAACTGATGGTAACAGTTCCCCTTTGTTAAGCTGGTAAAGGTCAGCCATGGCCATCCTCATGGGGCCCTTGCTCTTTTTACAATATGCAAATCAAAGTTGAAGAAAACAGAAAAAGTCCACGAGAGCCGAAGTACAACTTAGGATATATCCCTCTTGAATTCAGAGTCCATTTTAAGAACAGACTTGATGTATTGAACACTAATGGCCAAGGACCAGACCGTTTTTGAGATGACATTTAGGGAATTATACATAAAAAAGAAAGGAAAAATAGAAGGAAAGAAAGAAAAGGCCAAAATAGGTGTCACAAAAGACTGAAAAGTGTCTTTAAATGTAGAGAAGCTAAAATGAGTGGAAGAAATGAAGTAAATACTGAACAGAAGAAGCCTTCAAAGGGAGGCTTGAGAAGACAAACTCAAGCATAATGGTGAAATGTTCAAAGATCTGGAGTTAGAAACTCAAGAGGCAAGACCATCCTTAGCATTTTTGGGGCTTAAAGAATTGATGAAAAAAATTAAAGGCCCAAAATTTTAATACTAGGCAAAATATTGAACAAAGCAGGAAGCACCAAAGTGAAATGTGGGAAATACAGTCCCTCTACCAAAAAGAACTGGGTGAGCTTTTAACCATTTTTAGAAGTATCATACAATCAAGAGCTGATGTTTCTGAAGGAAGAAGTCCAAGCTGTGCTGAAGTGATTGGCCAAAACAAGGCTCCTAGAATTGATGGAATATCAAATGAGACCTTTCAACAAACAGTTGCAATTCTGGAAACTTTCACTCATTATGTCAGAAATTTAGAAGACAGCTAACTGGTCAATTGATTAGATGAGCTCTGTGTTTGCGCCCATTCCAAAGAAAAGTGATACAACAGAATTTAGAAATTGTGAAAGAATGTCATTTAATAGTGCATGTATGTAAAATTTTAAAGAAGACAAAGACAGTTGTAACAGGAAATTGGCCGAAAGTAAAGCAGGATTCAGAAAAGGACCTGGGAACAAGGAATAGAAATGCTGATGTCAGATGAACTCGTCTAAAAGCAGAGAATCCCAGACAGATGTTTGTCTCTGTTTTATTGCTATGCAATAGCATTTGACTGGATCGTAACAGACTATAAACAACACTTCAAAGAATGGAAATTCCAGACACCTACTGGTGCCTGTGTGAAACCTGTACATAGACCAACCAAGAGGCAGTTGTTTGAACAGAACAAGGGAGTAGTGTATAGTTTAAAGTAAAGCTGTACTTTTTTGAAATTTTTACTCAGTCTGTATGTTGAGAAAAATCTTTGGAGGAACTAGACTGTATGAAGGGAGCTCTGGTAGCCTAGTGGCAAGAAGCTGTACTGCAATCTCAAAGACACGTGGTTCAAGGCCACCAGCTGCTCTGTGGGAGAAGAATGGGCAATCTCCTCAAGTGCAATTAACTGCTTCTGAAAACTCGCCGGAGAGTCAGCTATGGGTCAATTCCGACTCTATAGTACACAACAACGACAGATTATATGAAGAACTTCACCAGTGATGGAGGAAGACTCATTAACATCCTGTGATGTGCAGATGATGCAACATTGAATGTAGAAAGTGATGAGAACTTAAAGAAGTAACTAACGAAGATTAGACAGTATGACCTTCAGTACAGATTATACCCAAACAGAAACTGTAGACCAATAAGTAACAAGATAAGTGAAGAAAAGATTGAAGTTGTAAAGGATTTTATTTTACTTGGAATTAACAATATCTGTTTTAGGCAAGGTTCTTTGTTCTGTGCCTTGAGTTAGAACTAACCCAACTCAACTAGCTGACACTCCAGCGGGTTTTTAGAGGCACATCAGGGATGCATCCTATCTCCATACCTTTTCAGTCTCTATACATAATGGATCACTCTAGAGGCTGGACTTTATGAGGAGGAATGTGGCATCAGGATTGGAGGAAGACTCATCAACAACAGGCATTATGTAGACAACGCAACCTTGGTCACTGAAACTGAAGAAGACTTGAAGTGTTTGCTGCAGAAGGTGAAGGACTGCTGTCTTCAATATGGATTGAAAA